ATAAATGTACAACCCATATTCAAAGCAGCATTATCCACAATAATCAAAGGTAGAAGCAACCCAAATGCTCATTGATGGATAAACAATGTGTATATTTATAGTGACATTATTATTTAGCCTTAAAAAGGAACTAAATTCTTTTTTAAAATATTTTGTTTTAGTTGTAGTTGGACACAATACCTTTATTTTATTTTTATGTGGTGCTGAGGATCGAACCCAGGGCCCCACGCATGCTAGGCGAGCGCTCTACCACTGAGCTACAACCCCAGCTCAAAAAAGGAACTAAATTCTAAGAACAATTCTACAAACTGGGGCTGGAGATGTGGCTCAAGCAGTAGCACACTCGCCTGGCATGCGTGCAGCCTGGGTTCGATTCTCAGCACCACATACAAAGATGTTGTGTCGAAAACTAAAAAATAAATATTAAAAAAAAATCTCTCTCTCTCTCCCCCCCCTTTAAAAAAAATTTCTACAAACTGAAATATGGGGGAACCCTGAAGACATTATGTTAAGTGAGATAAGTCAGTCACAAAATAACAAATATTCTATGATTCCACTTATATGCAGTATCTAAAGCAGGCAAAAATTCATAAAAACAAAGTAAAATAGTGGTTACTAGGGGTTGGGGGAAACTGAATAATAGGGAGTTATTATTTAATGGGTACAGAGTTTCAATCTGAGATGATAAAACCCAAATTGTTCAATATGCATAAGAGGATTTTCTCATACTCTCCATGATATAATGGCATGTACATATGTTTACACATTTGTCCAAACACACAGAACATACAACACCAAGAGTATAATCTAATGTAAATTAAAGACTTGGAGTGATAATGACCTGTCAGTGTACGTGTACTACTGTGTTGGAGGATGCTGAGAGTGGAGGAGCTCATTGTGGGCGGCAGAGCAATGCAGGAGGCCATGGGAAATTTCTGTACTTTCCTCTCAATTTTACTGTGAGCCTCAGAGTGTTCCTTCTTTGTTTTGTTTTGTTTCTTTTTTTTCTTTTGTTTCTTGGTACCAGGGATTGAACCCAGGGATGTTTAACCACTGAGCCACATCCTAGCCCTTTTATTTATTCATCTAATTTATTTATTTATTTATTTATTTATTTATTTATTTATCTAAATATTATCAAATATTTGAGACAGGGTCTTGCTAATTTGCTTAGGGTCTCACTAAATTGCTAAGGCTGGTTTTGAACTCACAATCCTCCTGCCTCAGCATTCTGAGCTGCTGGGATTACAGGCGTGCACCACCAAGCCTGGCTGAAAAATAGAGTCTTAAAATAGTAAGATTGCATAACATTTTAAGTGTGCCACTGAAACACACACTTTAAAAACAGTTAAATTGGTAAATTTTGATACACACACACACACACACACTGCCACGATTTTTAAAAGGTGCTGGGTAGTTTTCTTCCCCAACAGTGTCCACTTGTTCTTGCTTAGGTGCCTGTGACGTTCTTCAGCTCATTCAATCAATCCCAGACTGAACCACATATGACAGAACAAGGAGGTGGAAAGATACAATCAAACTCAGCCTTGACTTGCTATGAGAACAGGAGATAAGAAGTGCTTAAGTGTCACTTCTATGACCCTTCAAAACACACCTGGGATGGCTCAATAGTTGCCCTCCCCTCCTTTTTCTAGAAAAACATTTTTCTAAGGGCACCTTGGCAACGAGGAATACATTACCTCTTTGCTGTTCCACACAGTAACCACCTATGCCTATGAAACACTTAAAACGGGACTAGTCTAACTAAAGAACTATTCTATTTTATTGCATTTCAACTAATTTAAATGTAAAGAGCCACATATGGCTAGAGGTTACCAAACTGGAACCTCTAGGTAGAAGCAACCCAAATGCTAAAACCCCAGTTTAAGGATTTTATACAACAGCCAAAGTGGCAGATTTATATCTTTTTGGTGGAAATATCAAAAAGCTGTGAGGATGGGGCTAGGGTTGTGGCTCAGTGGTGGAGTGCTTGCCTAGCATGTGTGAGGCACTGGGTTCGACTGTTCCATCCCCAACCCCACGTAGAAACACACAATTAAACTACTATGACAGGACTGCATGCCCGGAATTTGAGGGCAAGCCCCCACTTATCTTCTCGTATGCTTTTAGGTTTAAGGTAGACACTGTCACTCCGTTTTATGTGCTGTATCACATAAAAATAAATAAATAAAATAAAGGTATTGTGCCCAACTACAACTAAAAAACAAATATTAAAAAAAAAAAAAAGCTGTAAGGATAGAGATCAAGAAGCCAGGAATGGGGCTGGGGTCGTGGCTCAGTGGTAGAGCGCTTGCCTAGCACATGCGAGACACTGGGCTCAATCCTCAGCACCACATAAAAATAAATAGGGGCTGGGGATGTGGCTCAAGCAGTAGAGTGCTCACCTGGCATGCGCGGGGCACTGGGTTCGATCCTCAGCACCACATAAAAATAAAATAAAGATGTTGTGTCCACCGAAAACTAAAAAATAAATATTAA